GGGATGTCCCCAGGGCAGTCCCAGGGGTGAGGGTGGCACTGCCACCTCTCCGAGTGCCCAGGGATGTCCCCAAGGCAGTGACAGGGGTGAGGGTGGCACTGCCACCTCTCGCTGGGCGCCCGCGGTGTCCCCACGGTGGCTGTGCCCGCAGGGACGAGGCTGGCACTGCCATCTTCGCCGTCAGCGAGCAGAAGGACGTGGCGCTGGAGGTGCTGGTGACCAACGAGCCCTCGGTGCCCGCGGAGCCGCAGCGGGACGGGGACGATGCCCACCAGGCGCTGCTGGCCGCCGCCTTCCCCCCGGAGCTGCCCTACGCCGCCCTGCGCAGCGACGGGCACGGGGTGGGCACGGCTGGGCACGGGATGGGCACGGGGTGGGCACGGGGTGGGCACGGCGGGGCACGGGACGGGCACGGGACGGGCACGGGACAGTGGGGACGGGCACGGGGTGGGCACGGCCGGGCACGGGATGGGCACGGGACAGTGGGGACGGGCACGGGGTGGGCACGGCCGGGCACGGGATGGGCAGGGATGGGCACGGCTGGGCACGGGACAGCGGAGACGGGCACGGGGTGGGCACGGCTGGGCACGGCTGGGCACGGGACGGGCACGGGACAGTGGGGACGGGCACGGGACGGGCACGGCTGGGCACGGGACAGCGGGGACAGCGGGACAGAGGGACAGAGGGACAGAGGGACAGACGGACAGACGGACAGAGGAACAGGGGGACAGACGGACAGAGGAACAGGGGGACAGACGGACAGAGGGACAGAGGGACAGACGGACAGAAGGACAGGGGGACAGACGGACAGGGGGACAGAGGGACAGACGGACAGAGGAACAGGGGGACAGACGGACAGAGGGACAGACGGACAGAGAGACAGACGGACAGACAGACAGGGGGACAGACGGACAGACGGACAGGGGGACAGACGGACAGACGGACAGAGGGACAGGGGGACAGACGGACAGACGGACAGAGGGACAGGGGGACAGACAGACAGGGGGACAGACGGACAGACGGACAGAGGGACAGAGGGACAGACGGACAGACGGACAGCGGGACAGACGGACAGGGGGACAGACGGACAGACGGACAGAGGGACAGGGGGACAGACGGACAGACGGACAGAGGAACAGGGGGACAGGGGGACAGGGGGACAGACGGACAGGGGGACAGACGGACAGGGGGACAGACGGACAGACGGACAGGTCTCAGCCCTGTCCCCCCCCAGGACAAGGTTCTGTGCTTGGCCAACCAGAACGGCTCCAGGGTGGAGTGCGAGCTGGGGAACCCCCTCAAACGGGGGGCCCAG